CGGTTAAAAGTCGAGGTTCTCCGGTTTAAAGTCGAGGTTCTCCGGTTAAAAGTCGAGGTTCTCCGGTTTAAAGTGGAGGTTCTCCAGTTTAAAGTCGAGGTTCTCCGGTTTAAAGTGGAGGTTCTCCAGTTTAAAGTCGAGGTTCTCCGGTTTAAAGTCGAGGTTCTCCAGTTTCAGGCCCTTAAACTTTCTCTGGTTTGAGACATTTGGGTGATTTCAGTTTTGCTGCTGAATCAGATAAAACCAAATCAAGTACCAGACCTTCAGGTGGACCTGCGGATCAATAACCGATCAGCTCTGATTGATCCCTGACGTTCTGTGTTCTCCTCCAGATTAATTAAAGCGAGTGGAGGATGAGCTGCTGATCCGATTGGAAGAACGCAGCGTCGACAGAAACACGACTTTCATCCGTTCTTTAAGTCTGTCACTGAAGCATAGCCAGAAAAATCACTGCAACTGGAAACGTCGTCAATTACAAATCAATAATCAGCGATTGATTAGTAACACTGTATTTGTTAATGAAGTAGCTCAGCTGGTCAGACAGTAATGACTAGCGAGGACTGAGAGGAGCCTCATATATATTAACTGAATCGTACGTTTTCATTCACCTTCAGTAGTTTTCAGTTTATTTTCCGTCTCGTTTCTTTAAGTTCCATCATTAAAGTCGTTCAGTGTTAATCAGCTGATGGACTCAGAGTTCAGGATTAGAGCTGCACATATAAACGCTGCAGCTCCTCACTCGGCTCCGTTTCACGGCTTTACGAGTTCAGGCCGACTCCTTTGATTAGAGTCGGTCGATCCTCTCCACTTCCTGAACGTTAGTGATTATTTATCTTTTTGCTTTCTTTGGAACCATTTTTCACATGATCACAGATTCTGCTTTTGGATTTTATTGTAAGAATGTCTCTGTCTTAAATGTTGTGGTTTTTTACGGTTTATTTACGTTTCATTTTTTACTTACGTCTTAAAGCTGAAGAGGAGCGCTCTGATTGGCTGTTTGCTGCTTAAAAGGACCAATCATGTCGCAGGGCTCCTCTCCTCCTCTGTGTGTTCAGATCCTGTCATTGGTCGTCCTCGTCTGCTTTGGACTTTACAGCATCGTCAAGGTAACGTCTGTTAGCTTTAGCATTTGCACTGAGGCAGTTAGCACGGGAAGCATTAGCATTAGCATTTAGATCACAGTTAACCTGATGATTGATTATTGGTTCATAGGAATTCCTGCTTTCACAAGACTTTCAGACTCAAACATTCCACTGCTCAACCTGATTTATCCTCCTCCTCCTGCAGGGAGCCTCCTTCTCCTCCTTCAGCTGGTGGTTGATCCTCGGAGCTTCCTGTCTGCTCGCCACCGCCTTCGCCTCCTTTCGCCTGTATGAGGTCTGCAGGAGGGAGGCTGAGGAGGAGGAGGCGGCCTCTCAAGGAGGAGGAGTCTACTGAAGAGGAGGAGGAGTCATCTTAACGAGGAGGAGTCATTTAAAGGGGAGGAGTCATCTCAAGGAGGAGGAGTAATCTGAAGGAGGAGTCATTTAAAGGGGAGGGGTCATCTAAAGGGGAGGGGTCATTTAAAGAGGAGGGGTCATCTAAAGGGGAGGAGTCATTTAAAGGGGAGGGGTCATCTCAAGGAGGAGGAGTAATCTGAAGGAGGAGTCATTTAAAGGGGAGGGGTCATTTAAAGGGGAGGGGTCATTTAAAGGGGAGGGGTCATCTAAAGGGGAGGGGTCATCTAAAGGGGAGGGGTCAGTTGTTGAACTACGTTGATTAATAAAAGGGATCAATAATAAACTCAATGGCACTTTAATAAAATGTTTGGTTCAGTTCTCTTGTTTTGTTTTGATGTTGTCATAAACAGCTGATGACATCACACCTTCGGATGTCTCCTGATTGGCTGTTGGAGATTTTACACTGTAAAAACATCCATGACTGTTTCTGCAGAAACCGATTCAGAACATTTCAGAAACATTAGATTTATTTCACATCTGAATCAGTTTCCTTTCTTTTTTTTTACAGTTTATCAAAATGTTTGTTGATATAAAACATTAATGTGAGATGATTCCAGGGAAACGATTCACACACGACGGCTCAGTAATCAATAAACAAATCAATAGTCAATAAACAGATCAATGATACTTCTTTACACTTTTGTTTGACAAAGAAAAATCAAACTGATTGAAATAAGATGAAACTTCATCACAGGAGGGAAATGAGAATAAAATCTGCTTGAATGTAAAGACATCTTCAGTCTGGTCTTAAATCATTAACATAATTTAGAATAAATACAAACACACAGGATTTAAATGAGTCTTAACGAGTGGAGCAGCTCGTCTACTGCGTCGGGCTGCTCAGGCTCTGATTGGTCGACACAAACTTCTCCATGAAGCTCGGCACCTGCAGACCCGTCGCCACGGCGATACCCCCGCACCACACCTGCAACACAGTTTTACTGCAGGTAGTACTGCAATACAACCAGAGTACCGCAGGTAGTACTGCAATACAACCAGAGAACTGCTTTATCATTGCAGCAGTACTAATAGTGCAGAATTACTGTAGTATTACTTTAGTGTTACTGTAGTAGTCA